CATTTAATGGAAACAACGGATCTTAAGTACGGTTTTCTTCAGCTGACCTTTAAATTGGATTTTCTAATTATTGGATGTTTCTGACAAAACTCAAACACAAAATCAACGATTCTTTCAACAGGAAAACTACAAAAAGGATTTAGAGCTTCTGGATAATTTTGAACGGGTGTTCGCATGATTTGGAAATTCTTTCATTGTTGAAATTCCGACTTGGATACGTGCTTCCAGTTTCAACAAACGGCCGAATTAAAATAAACTTCTCTGCAACACGGTCTCTGGTTTCTGCAGCAGCATTTTTTAAGAGCATTCTTACACCTGAAGCTGTGGGTTATTATTATTATTGTGACATTTGTGCAGACCTAAAAAACTCCAGAAGGAACGACATTTTGCCTTTAACAGCTGAGGTCAACTCACACTTCCAGCATTCCCGTTTCTCCTGAAGGAACAGCAACTTTAGCCTCTGTCAGTGCGCCCCAGGGCAGCTGTGGCTACATCGTAGCTCATCACCATCAGTGTGTGAATGTGTGTGTGAATGGATAAATGATTCACCGTAGTGCAGGGGTGCCCAATCCTGGTCCTGGAGAGCCGGTGTCCAGCAGGTTTTGTGCTTTTTCTGCTCCAACAGACTCTATTCAGTGGTTGAAACACCTGTGCAGCAGCTCATCAGGCTCTGCAGAAGCCTGTTAATCACCTGCTGATTGAACTCTGCTTTAACACCTGATTTCAAACTAAAACATGCAGGATACCGGCCCTCCAGGACCAGGATTGGGCACCCCTGCTGTAGTGCAAAGCGCTTTGTAGTCCTCTCTGAAAGGCGCTGTACAAGTGCGGGTCGTTTATCATCACGATTTTTTAAAATTATGTTTAGGTGCTTACCGCGTTTCGTAATAATTCCTAATAATTATAAGATGAACACTAATAATTTTCTGACTCTGTTAGTTTATATGAGCAGAGTGACGACCCAAACCTCATTTCAGAGTATTGTAGCAATAAAAATGTGTCTGATATGTAAATATCACTGATGACGTGCATCGTCTTTTGAATTTATTGATAAATTAGAGGATCAATTCTTCACACAGGAGAGGGGAAACATTGTGATGGCGTTTAGAAACCAGATGTTTTTAATGTGTTGCATCACTTCAAATCGCATCATGAACTGTATCGAGTCGAAAATCGTTTTCAAATCACTGTTGAATCGTGAGCAGGGTTTCTCTGTTTTTCCCCGCAGAAGAAGCTACAATGGTGTTCTGCTGAGCTGTGGTGGCCTCATGGAGGGGGACATCGGCTAGCACACTGCTGCTAACCACTTAAACATTCCCCCTCTCCTGATAATATTTTACTCTCTTTGACGTTGGATGTGCTACTACTAGTTTACCCATTTAATTATAGATCCACTAGGATAAATACAATAAAGTTTATCTCACCAAATATTTACTAAGAAATCACAATGTAACCATAGAAACACTACTTGGTGTGTGTGTGTGTGTGTGTGTGTTCATGCACGCACACATGTCTGTATGTGTGTGTCACGCCCCATGTGACACAGATAAATACTGAACTTCCTGCAAATGTACAACTTCAGCAGGATTCTCAAATGCGTGCATGTGTGTGTGTGTGTGTGTGTGTGTGTGTGTGTGTGTGTGTGTGTGTGTGTGTGTGTGTGTGTGTGTGTGTGTGTGTGTGTTTGTGTGGGTCACTCATCCCCAGTGAGTCGTGGTGGATGGCTGCTTATACTGAGCTAGGATCCTGCAGGATTCTCTGGATGTTTCTTCCTGTTAAAAGGGAGTTTTCCTCTCCACTGTCGCTACATGCTTGCTTAGTATGAGGATTGCTGTAAAGACTGACACTAGTCAGTGACTCGATGCAACCTGCTGGGTTCCTTATATAGGAAATTTTTTACTGATTGGCTTAATGAACTGACCTGTAGTGGGATGTTTACTGTGTGAAGGTCCTTGAGACGACTCTTGTCGTGATTTGGCGCTACATAAATAAACTTGAATCGAACTGAAAAAATTTAATTGAATCATATCGGCTCAGGGTTTCACTGCGTACGATCTGCATCGTGATACGAATTGCGTTGGCCTCAGAGGTGGAGATTGATCTCTTTAGTGTTGCTGTCAGCCAATCAGAGGAGAGATGTCCACATATCAGGCGTGTTGTGCCACTCTCGCCACTCTCTCCTGCATCAGACTTGTCTGTGCTGACTCATGCTCTTCTGGGTCTTTCTCGCCGTGAGACCACCGCAAAAGTGCTGATTAATCGAGTTGCTCACACTTTAAAACTTTAAACATTTACAAAATATGACAAGTAATTCATTTGGAATAAAACTATCATTTGTCTCCAGCAGCAGCTGAATCTTTTCTCCCCGTGATAATCCTGACAAATGCCCACAGGGCTAATTTCTGATTCTTCACACGTGCAAACTGACTAAAGTATCTGAAAAACCTCGGATCTGTCTTATTATGGCTTCACGAGTGAGAGGACACATAGCTGACGAGTCGTGTGTTTATTATGTAGATGGTATGTAAAGATTGTCCTGAAAAGAGTCATTTCTAATTTAAAATCAATACCAGCCGATAATATCAAACATGTTTAGAAAAAACTTACCGAGGAATGAAAACACCTCGACTTTAGAGTCCTTCAGTGGTTTTAACAACTTTAATTATCTGTTTAATGTAAATTCAAAGCCGTCGTTTTAGACGGGCCTCGTGTTCATTTATTATCAGGTTTAATCAGAGACTAATACATTTTTATTGCTCTAATTATTAAATCCATTATGACTGATTCTTTTTCTCCATGTAGCAGTGGCGGCTCCAGAAACGTTTTCTGCAGGTGCTATGAAGGAGCTAGTCTTTTTATTGAGGGTGCTATGAAGGAAGTGGTGATGCGTACCTATTGTTCTCTAAAACACCTTCAACACTAGCAGATACACATGCGTGCACAACACCTCAACACCTGAAACAATCATTAATATACATCATAAACATATGAACAATCGCTGACTTTTCCATGAAATCATAAACACATACAGCCACACAGAAAACCATCTATAGTGTTGCAAGGTTAGCTAACGTTAGCGTTAGCATTTCCAGCGGCAAAACCCACGACTGCTGCGGCGGTTGAGGGTTGACTCTCTTCATCCAGATCCGTAGGTTTTTGTGGGTCTGAGATCACTTCCAAAGATTCATTCGTTTCTGACTGAACCCGTGGAAATGTGGGCAACAAAAACCGATCCATTTTACCGCTAGCTCTACCTTTCACTCGTTCACAGGTGGAAAACGAGGTCAAAGGTCGTCGTCGTCTTCCTCCGCTTATCCGGGTCCGGGTCCGGGTCGCGGAGGCAGCATCCCAACTAGGGAGCTCCAGACCGTCCTCTCCCCGGCCACCTCCACCAGCTCCTCCGGCAGGACCCCGAGGCGTTCCCGGACCAGATTGGAGATGTAACCTCTCCAACGTGTCCTGGGTCGACCCGGGGGCCTTCTGCCGGCAGGACATGCCCGAAACACCTCCCCAGGGAGGCGTCCAGGAGGCATCCTGACCAGATGCCCAAACCACCTCAACTGGCTCCTTTCGATCCGGAGGAGCAGCGGTTCTACTCCGAGTCCCTCCCGAATGTCCGAGCTCCTCACCCTATCTCTAAGGCTGAGCCCGGCCACCCTACGGAGGAAACTCATTTCGGCCGCTTGTATCCGCGATCTCGTTCTTTCAGTCATTACCCAAAGCTCATGACCATAGGTGAGGATTGGGACGTAGATCGACCGGTAAATCGAGAGCCTGGCTTTCTGGCTCAGCTCCCTCTTCACCACAACAGATCGGCTCAACGTCCGCATCACTGCAGACGCCGAACCAATCCGCCTGTCGATCTCCCGATCCCTCCTACCCTCACTCGTGAACAAGACCCCGAGATACTTAAACTCCTCCACTTGAGGTAGGACCGCTCCCCCGACCCGGACTTGGCAAACCACCCTTTTCCGGTCAAGAACCATGGTCTCAGATTTGGAGGTACTGATCCTCATCAGGTCAAAGGTTAACATCAATTTCCTGTTTTGGTTGAAGTTTTTACTATCTATATGATAATTTACTGATTATTTTGTTTTGTATGTTAAATATTATCACATCCACAAGTTAAATAAAAATTGTAAAAAAAAAAATCTTATATTTGCTTGGGGGTGCTATGGGGGTGCAATGACTCATCCAGGGGTAGCTATAGCGCCCCCCTAGCGCCCCCACTGCCATGTAGAAATCCTTCAAATAATAACAGAGGATGTAAAACTAGAAATCCAGGCTTTATTGTGCCACGGAAACACGTAGCTCACCTTCACACCTTATTTTTAGACGTGTTAATTGGGAAAAGGGCTCCGCACGCGAGTGGCTGTGAAGCAGTTGTGAATGCTCCCGTGGGAACACGGAGTAGTTGAAACGTGACGTCGGATTCAACCGGTTTCAGTAGATTTTTTTGTCGAAAGTGTGACCAGCAGGCAGCAGCTGAAGCTTGAGATCCAAACAAGATAACCATCAGGAATCGATGCAACATCGAATGTAAAAATCACATTTTGAGTCGTGAAGTTGAGAGAGGCGGGTTTAATCATCAGAGTTCTCCCGAGTTTTTCTTGGGCGAGGTGTCTCAGGTGTGATCCGAGCCTCCGGTGCGAACATGTGCCAACGCTCTAACGCCTACAGCTTCTCAAAGACTTCACCTTCACCTCCCTTTCATTCAGTTATAAAACCTGATCACAGAGGAGATTCTTGATTTTTCTAACACGGGTTTTAAATAAGTTTCTCTTGCAGCAGGTCCAGGTTTTGTTGTTGATTCTTTAATGTTTAATTTTTCATCAGCCAGCCTTCAGACTGAAGACTTCACCTTGTGAATGTAAAAACGACAGCATGCGCCATCTGTGTTTGCGGTGATGACTTTCAGAAGTGAATGAAACTTTCATTTCAGGAGCGTGCGAGAGCAGAATGAGAGGTATTCCTATAAAAAGTCGTCTGTTCCTTTCCAGGACAACGTGGATCTGGGCGAGCTCATGTTCTCGTTGTGTTATCTCCCCACTGCCGGCAGACTCACCATCACTATGATCAAAGCTCGAAACCTCAAAGCCATGGACATCACCGGAGCCTCAGGTGGGTGCTGAACACCTGTCCAGGTGTCTGTTGACGAATCAACAACTCCTGGGTGATTTATTACCGGCAATCCAAAAGAACTGGATTACATTTAGCGTTGGGTACAGAATTCGGTACTTTTTAAGGTACCGACCGAATTCCATAGTACCGACCGAGCACCGATTCACGTCATTTGAAACGGTGCCTTGTTTCGGTACCCGTCCTTCATAACGAGAACTTGCCTAGACAGCTGCGAATGCGCAAGAGCGTTATGTCGTTGGTCGCTGCGAGCCAGTTGTAAACAGAGCAGCATGGTAGAAAGAACGCACGCTAAAGCTTGGGTCCACTTCACTAAATGTGATGGGTAACTGGGTGATGATGAAACCAGCGACAACGATCTAAGTGAGACATCCTCATCTTAATCTGCTCCGGTAGGTACATAAAATGTTTATTTATTCATTTATTTTTTAAGAACTTTTATTGAACCTTTGCAAAACAAACAAAAGCGACTACATTTCAAAATTTGTTAGCAGAGTGACATGACAGAGTAGCTCCGAAGTTCGTGTTCATCTCAACTTGCATTTTGTAGATACAATTCAACTTGAAAGAAGTTGATGATGTAAGAAGACAATAAACCAAAAACAAAACAAAAATCAAAACAAAAATAGAACATGAAAGGATACAAGTAAGACAGCATGAAAAAACAAATTACACGTGTATATAAATAAAAAATTTACAAGGGGGAAGTTAAAAAGCAAACAAGGTCTATTGTGTATACCATCCAAAAAGCGGTTAGAGATTAGTGTTCATAATGAAATTATAATGCTTTATAGCATTGGGGGTGGACATTTTACCTAAGGATCTCAACAGCAGTTTAATTTCATTTGAGATTATTCCACGTAGGTGGATTTTTGAGATAACGGCATTTGTGTATGAAAATTTTTGTTAAAATTATGAGATTATTAATTAGAAATTCATTATTTTTATCTTTTAGTATAATGCCAAATAAGATATCTTCAACTGTGAAATTGTTTAAATTTGATTGGAGATCAGCCAATCCTGGAGTGAATTCCACATCATTAAAATTTTATCACATTCATAGAAAAGATGTTTGGTCGATTCATTGTTTTGTTTGCATAAGTAACCTTTTTCCACATTGAACTTAAATCTAGTTTGTATAAAATGGTTAGATGGGTAAATATCATTCAAGGTTTTAAAATTGACTTCTTTATACTTTGGGGGTAAAGACAATTTTAGATAGTTGGTTCTCAAATTTTTAATTTCTTCTTTTGAAAAGTTTTGTGGTAAATAAAATGTTTAAGATAACGTTAGCTTGATATGTTAGCTTCGGTTATTTTCCGTTGCGCTAATGGTGCGTTCGGGTTTTCCTCAGAACTCCAAATTTCCGACTACAAGAACATGAACGCGCTCAAAAGTTTGGCTTCACTTTACTAAATGTGACGGGTGATTGGGTGAAGATGAAACCAGTGATAACGGTCTAAGTGTGAGGCATCATCGTTTTAATCTGCTCCAGCAGCTAAATAAACTGTTTAAGATAACGTTAGCTTGGTATGTTAGCTTCCATTGCCACCATTGTTATCAGCTAATGGTGCGTTCGCTTTCTCCTCGGAAATTCTAACTTCCCAGTAGGAAAAATCAAATGAAAAAGGACGGCAAAAGGAATGAAGATACACAGTAAATTTAGTTCACAGTAAAGATGTTTGCTTCAGTTTAATTATCAGCTTATAAAATTACAAGGAAGATGTTAAAATACAAACAGTTGTATGTTATTTATCAAATATTGTTATATATTGAGAAATATATATATTTAATTATAAAAGAGAATTAAATTATTAAACACTCAAAAGTTTCTAAAATTGGTACCGTTAAGTACTGGTATCAATTCCTAGGTACCGGGAATTAGTACCGAATCGATTCAAATGTCAAAGGTACCCATCCCTAACATTAGACTTTTGGTGTGAAGAAGTTGGATATATTTTGAGCTCATCCAGTTTAAGTAAGTTTAAGTTCAGTTTCAGAATTTTTTTTCTCAATGTGACGAAACATGAATGCATAAAGGATGTTTTCCACATAAGGCTGATGCTCCTATGCTGGGATAGTATTTGTTACATTAGTAATATAAATGAGTAAAATGGACTGTTCCTGACGTTCCACGTCGTGCACATTTTCTCTCAACCTGACTGGTTTTGAGTTTTTACACCCCACACCACTGTCCATTTTCAGATCCGTACGTGAAAGTGTCTCTTATGTGCGAGGGAAGACGGCTGAAGAAGAGAAAGACTTCAACCAAGCGAAACACCCTCAACCCGGTGTACAACGAAGCCATCGTGTTCGACGTTCCTCCTGAGAACATAGATCAGATCAGCCTGCTCATAGCGGCCATGGACTACGATCGGTTTGTACATTCAGTGTTCTAGTGATTCTTTTACTGAATCAAGTTTGAATGAGTCACTCACCAAAATGAATTGGGTTTTTTTGAGTCACTGAGTTCCCAAGAGTGCAAAAACAAAATCTACGTTTTCCCTTAAACTAGTCGAACTAGTCGCGCTCCTCATTCCAAGTCCTACCGCTAACACGAGTGATGAAAAGGGACACCTATCCATTTTAAACACTGAAATGTATTTTTTATAGTTGTCGGTGGAACTGAGTTCATGTATATTTCTTTAGTCTGCTGATTATCTTGAAAGCAAACAAAGAATAGACTGAATATCGTTAGATGGCGTCAGACCACCAGAGCTCAGCTCAGGTGAAGGAGCGACTCTTCCACGCTAAAGCCTGGACTTGCTGCTTAACGACAGGTACGCATGTTTAAAATGGCTGCCTTGCATTGACTTTATGCATTGTTTGTGCGTGCCCCTCGAAATTTACGTGACACTTTAGCACGTTGCAATACCGGAGCAACCAGCAGGCAGAGTTGACAAACCGAGCGAGACACACTCGCCATGGTCGCTCCGTCTCTGGCTTAGGGGTCTTTCATGCTGTCATGATCTCAAAATTAGCCAGTTACTGGTCTCTTCTACTGACACCATGTTTGTTTTGGGCGTACCCCACAAACCCGACTCTGTCTGGTCCGACTACTCTACTGTGCCCCCCCCCCAGTGGAACCCTCCAGTGCCGTCGTGCAGCCTGCTGCCGCCTGCATGCGCCAACGCGAGGTTAATAAACAAGTATGACTCAGGCCCGACAGGCCTGAGCTGAGAGCCGGGAGGAAGGGGTGAGGGTGTTGTTAGCCCTCTGAGTAAAGCCAGCAACGGAGGAACTGAGTGATCGTTCGTGCCACGACTCAGCACCGGTCCCGGTGTTGTAGCAGTCTCGTTATCCCGGTAGAATTTGTTTCCCCTGCGTCGGGCGCTGGTGTAATGTCAATTTGAGTCCCCCCCCCCCCCCCCCCCCCCTCACAAAAATAACCCTCTCCCTGACACTCACTCTACCCATAACCTCTCAGTCACCAAAAATGTATGTTTAGATGTTTATGTTTGTTACAGGGTTATGGTTAGGGTAGTTAGGGTGAGAGTTAGGACACATTTATTTGGAGTGGGGGGGGGGGGGGGGGGGGGGCAGATATGGACAAAAGACCGGCACACGCTCCCAACTCAGAGGAAACAAACTTCACCGCGTACAACAACACCGGAGCTAGCTCTCAGGAACGGAGGGGCTGAGTGACTCAAATGTGAACCACCCGTTACCGGGTAAACTGCAGGAATTCCCAGAGGCTTTTCTTGGTGTGCCGTAGGGTCGGACACAACGAGGTGATCGGGGTGTGCAGGGTGGGCAGCGAGGCTGAGAGTCTGGGTCGAGACCACTGGAGCGAGATGCTGACGTATCCACGGAAACCCATCGCACACTGGCACCCGCTGGTAGAGGTAGGAACTCCATATCTAAAATAAATCAACATGATTCTTTTTCTCCAGAGGCATCAAGGAAAATCTTAGATAAGGAGGCTACAGGACATCATGATAAGTAAAGGCGGAGTTCGGGTTTTTAAAAGTCAGTCAGCGTCGCACCTGCAGCAGAACTCAGCTCAAATACTCCACAGAGAACTACAGCGGGGCTCTTTGACCCTCTAATGGGCCATTCCCATCTGTACCGGGTCAGCCCGGGCCGGGTAGCGTAGGTTGTTTACATATCTGGGTGGCCCGGTATTTTTCCGGGCCAACCAAGGCTCATTCTCAGCCCTCTTCTCGAGGGGGTCTGCTTCAGGCCGACCAGGGCCAACACACCCACTGCTGATAGCAAATTCACACCTTCCATTAGAGCAAGCCTCTGATTGGTGGGTAGAATCAGCCCACATGGGCTTAAGGCAAGGATGTGTGGAATCAACCGGGTCAGGCTGGGGCCGACTGGGGCTACCCGGCCCGGGCCGACCCGGTACAGATGGGAATGGCCTATAAATGGCAGGTGAACCCTTATTAGAGCCTATTTAATCCATACGATTAGGTATGTCTACTTAACATTAAGCATAAACGCTTTACTAAATTCCAGTTTTTTCCCTATTAATCCCTCTGATTTATTATTTGCGTTATATAATAACCCTGAAGGCTCAACGTTGATAAAAGGATGAAAAACAAAACTAAACTAGACCTCACAGCCATGGTGTTTCCATGTGAGAGAATTATGTATTATTCTACTGGATTAGCTGGTTTTACATTCAAAACAGATTTTTTTTCATAGCTAAATAACCTCCAATGTCAGTTTTCCAAATCCCTTTGGGAATCCATCAAAAAAGTGAAGGCAGTTTCACTTCGATGTTTAATACACATTTATCAGCAGCTAAAATCCCGTTATTACAGATGTCTTCCACCCTAGATGTTCTCATGTTTTCCATTTTAATCTACAGATGATTTAAAAAAAGAGGAAACAGACAAAAGCAGCATAACCCTCGTGTATACTTGGCTTGTTTCGGTGTGATTGCTACGACAGAGAGACCGAGGTGGCTACATTCACACAGCTGCTTCTATTTCTGAACTCCCAGCCCACACTCATTAAAAACAGGGAATGCTAAAACAGACGCGGAACCGATTCATGTAAATTCATGTGGACGTGGTTGATGTACCAGCTTTCTGCCGTGGGGGCGAAACGCTAAAACAACACAATCGGGACACCCATTAGCACATTTAAAGCCTCACCTGAACGTCGTCTAAAGGTTCCCAGGCCTGATTTGCATTTCTCCCTCCGTAACGATGAGCACCTCGACATGTCAGCCTGAAGACTATTGGATCTGGTCCTCATGAGGTCTGTTGACGTAAAACCTCTCCGGACATCATCACCTTTTTTCTTGAACCACATGAGGTCTGGTGGGGCTCGTTATAAGAGGAAAATCTCTAATGAAGATTATTTTATTTTTATCCTCTATAACAAAATTATGTTTCCACCTGAAACAAGGCCAAGTGGTGCATAATGAGCATAATCTATTCAGATTATTCCACCTTTCGTATGAACGACGTGTTAGCAAAGGGATGCTAGTGGTTAACACTGTTGACTCCGTCTGTCGCCGGGCAGGTTTGAGTGAAGCAGTCAGAAGATGGACATTCAAGATGGCCACCAGCTAAGCAACCCAGAATTCTAGATATTGAGCTAAACTCTAATGGTCTAGCGGCTGGAGGTCTTTCAAACACACACTCAGAATGCTATTGGAAAACCTTGCCAGGTTATTTTCACTATATGATGTAACAGAATGAAATGACTGTTTTCCACCAAAAGCCATTCTTCCCCTCTCCTCTGACACAGAACTAGTCTGCATGAGTTATGGCCTCAAGGTCTCATGCATTTGCTTCTAAACTGCTTCTTTCCAGCTCAAGAGAAGAATGAAGAAAGGACTCTCTCCTTTTAATAAATCAAAGAACTCTATTTTAATAGAGCTAATCAAACAAAGTGTTAGTCAATAAATAAGATGTGACCAATCTGTGAAATCAAAATATTAATTACTTTATTATAATCCTATAGAATATAATAAGTAATATGACTTTAAATGTTTCCACTAGGACTGATCTCACGTAGCGCTAAGACATGACACATTGCTTTACTGATCCAATCAGAATCTGCCAGATGTGAAGGAGGCGTGGTTTTGGTGGTGTTCGGTAAATCTGTCATCTTTTCATTCGACCATAAACCAAAACATCCAAAGTATAAAACTATTCCCACGTCATCTTTAACGCCAGTTCAAAGCGTTCTAGAGAAGTTGTCGGAGTGGCCAATCCGTAACTTTCCTCTTCAGCCGAAAGAACCGACGACAAGCTGGATAAAATCTGTTGCTGTTCCACCTGCTGCAACGGTTCCTTTCAGAATAAAAGCTGAACCATCATGACCCCATTTTGGGTCTTGTTAGATGCCAACAAAACTGTCGTGACCCGGAAGTATCTCAAGACGAGTGGTCAGCTGCCGCGGCTGTTTCTACAGGCTTCGGCTCCATAAAGGTCAAGCTGGACCTCTACACCTCCTGATCTAACGGGGACTTCCGCTAAGGGTACGTAGACCGACAGAATGGCGTAGAATGTGTTTATGAATCTCCTAACCAAAGCTTAACGTGAAGACATCACCTTCACTTCCCACCAGAACTAATCGCTTCTTCGGTTTTGCTGGTTCTGACCAACATTCCACATTACGCCATTCTCCGTCTCATTCACCTTAGTTACACCATACATTTAGTGTTAAAGTTAGTCTAGTTTTAATTTGTTTAGTAATAAATCTTTAAACTTTTAAAACTTGACTCTCTCTTCTGTTGTCTCTGAGTGAATACGAGGTTGTTACATAATCCCTGTAATAAAAAGTTCCAATCTTCTGGTTAAACAGTACCCACAGATCCATGAGGTTGATTTCGTATTTACTATGGAATCTTATGTCTTATGGCTCATTAAATAACATGTAATTTAAATCATTACAATGACTAAGAAGGAACAATTTTTGACACAACACCGGCCTCTCTCATCCCCTAGGGTGCGCCATTTCTCCAGTCATGACTCATTTGGCATGCTTCTGCCAGAACCGGAAACCCACGATGCCAGAAGACACGAGATAGCGCTAAACACCAGTCACCGTTTTTTAGGTCCAAACATCGTTTGTTGTCCATGACGTCAAATGGAGTTTTTCCTTTTGGGACTCTGGTAGTTTGTCCTGCAGTGGAAGTGGTAGCAGCCGGCTGTTTCTCCCTCTCTGATGGTATTGAGCAGATAACCTCTCTCACGGAAGGTGTTCTGTTGCTCAACACGTGAGTGTGTGATGAGTGGAGGACCCAGGGCAGTGCGGCGGTTCAATGAGACCAACCCGATGGTCCGATAGTTTCAGAACCACTTCATTCATTTGATTTCCATTGTGTGTATTTTTTATTTCCACAATATATTCATAGCAGCACTCTGTTAGAATGTAATCCGCTCAACGTCAAGCTGCGCCCGAGCCTGTTGATAATCTATTGATCTAAATCAGGTGTGTTGGAGCAGAGAAACACCTAAAACATGCAGGATGGTGGCCTTCCAGGACTGAATATCATTTCAGGGAAACGGACTGAAACTGAAAGCGTTGTTCCTTTGGGTGTTTGTTACTCCTGACAGGATGTTTATAAGGAGTCGACATGCTGTTGAACCCTTTTTCATCCTCAACTGTCAAAAAACACGATCGTTTGGATTCACTAAATCCCGAAACCCGATTTCCACCCACGTTCCCAACAATATCAGCGTTCTAGTGAACGCCACATCAAGCATCATGAGGTTAGTGACCCAATCACTTTATTGAGCATACAGAGGACTATGTTATAGTCGTGAGGAGCGCTCACCGATGCTCACCCCTAATGTGGGTATGTGAAACCAGAAGAACTTCCTCTCTGCAGCCTTTAGCAGCAGCTTCAGACTGCAGCACAGCCTGAGATCCCAGCTAATGGCTCATTTGTGTCGTTTTAAAGAATCTATGCAAACTCCCTGAGGGAGTGCTGCTGGATCCCCCTGAGTGAGTCCGTTCGGATGCTGAGGCAAACACAGACAGCTGACAGCTCCAGTTGCCTCCACTTTGTCACATGAATGAGTTGCTGAATAACAAGAGGCACTCTGCTGGGACTGCTGGTTCAAAGACAGCTCGGTGTCTCGCTTTTGGGTCTCACTGGATCAGCTCGGGGTAGATGCTCCACTGGGGTGTTCCTCACCGTCAGCCTGCTGCTGGGCGGGTTATAATCGCTGATCAAACAGGATCACATCAAAATCTACAGCAGCCTGAGGTGATTTATCTGCAGTATACTGATATATTGTTATATTATATTTGATTAGACTAGAAAACTTATCATTTGAAAGTTTGATAAAGCATCTATTCCTCTAAACCACAGATGTCAGAGTCAAGGCCCGCGGGCCAAATGCGGCCCGCGGAGCATTTTTATGAGATAAATATCAAAAATATATTAAAACTGGCCCGCTGGCTGATTTTACCGCAAAGGCTTCAACTCCCATGATGCTTTGCAGCTTTAGCGCGGAGCCGACGACGCCCCCTCCTTTGTGTTTTTTCAGCGCCTGCTGCCGGTGTCTGCAGCTCCGCTGTCTCAGACAAACTACACTCCTCTCACTCAGCGCCGAGTTCACTCAGCTGTTTTCTGACGTTGAAGCCCAGAAACGGAGATTCTAGCCGCTCAGTAATGTGTTCACGACTGAAAGAGAAAGTTTTCCAACTAACGTCCAGACAGAGCTGATATAACTCCAGCGAACAGCGACACGCTCAAACCAGCACGACTCTGTGGTTGTGTTTCCTCCCCGACACACAACAACGTGGTCAAGCTGCTCAGACATGTTCAGCAGCACAAACCTATGTGAGCACCTGTTGTCATCTAATGTTGTCATTATTATGATGAAGATGAACAAAACAACAGGAGTCTCCTCCTCAGCTCAGATCAACCCCATGATGCAGGTATCTGGCTGGAACAGGTGAGCATCACAGTAAACCAGTGGAGCAAACTGAGCTTTAAATATGTTGGTTTTCTGCTCTTTTTCTGCTCCAAAACATGAAAGTTAACAGGTGAGATGTTGCATTTTCATTTAAGATCAAATTATATTTTTATTTTGTTGTTGGCCCGTGAGAAAGATTTAACCTACAGTAAACAGGAAGTGGAAAGGCTGCAGATAGATGAATAGAATAGAAAATCCCTTTATTGTTCCTCAGTGGGGAAAGCTAGACGTCACAGCAGCGATGACACTTATTACAGGAGAAAAAAGGAGAATAAACAAGAAAACATAAATCCCGAATAGATTTTAAAATGCTGATTATACCACAAGTAATGAATACCACTGACGCCTTTTATTTAAAACTGACTTGCTCGTGTGTAATTTGGTTATTCCACATTCAGTGTTAATGCAGAAATAAGTTTGTTTCCAAATTTAAAGGTTCAAAACTGCATATATGTTGATAAAGAAAATGTGCAAATTTGCCGTCACTTTTTCAAAAAATATTAAGTTTGGCCCTCGACTCCGTCCCAGAGTTTCATTTCGGCCCCGTGTGAGTTTGAGTTTGACACCCCTGCTCTAAACTATTTGATGCTGGAAGAACAAACCGAAGAAACCTGGAGGGCAATAGCAGATCAGCACCACGGACAACTCCCGTGACCCACGATCGGTTTAAACGGCAGGTTTTGTTTTTAGATTTTTGCTCACTAAGTGAAGGAAAGATGGAAAAATCAAGTGAAAGCATCTTTGCAGAAGAGTAAACAAGCTCTATACATCATACTGGATATACAGCTACTGGGTTATATCCTGGTGACTCTCAGACCTTAGGGTTAGGGTCACCCAGTCCACTAAACAAATTTGTCACATTCATCTCCTTTAAGCTGTGCCCGGGTGATTTTCTTGTCCTTTATGCCTGACTGTCACTGGTAGTCCCAGTCCAGCCATGGTACTGGGGTTCTTTGATGCCCTCACGGGGGCTTTCAAACAGTACTTTGGCTTCAGTTGTGAATCAAGTTGTTGTTGGAGATCCTACAAGGGGCAAAAAACACTTCAGAGACACTTTTGAGAATTTTGGAGTTCCTTATGAACCCCAGCTACAGCTTGGTGGAGCTTCTGCCCAACATGGAGGAGTTCAATAATGGCTAGCAGATCCTAGGAGTCATGTGAAGAAAAAGCAATAAGGTCATTTTAACAATCAATCCATGCTCTAACTCTCATGAGTGATGGGTTATGCTAAGGATAGAATCACTGCGCTTCCACATCCAGGAGCAGACTGAGGTGGTTTGAGCATCCGGTACCTTCTGGATTCTCTCTACGGGAGATGTTCTTTAGTAGCCTAGCAGTGTTGCCAGATCCAAAATCCCACAATATCGTACAGAGAGGCCTAAATTATCGTTTTTCAGTACAAATTATCATACATTATAAATTTGATAATAACGTTCTATAAACGACTTCTCACTCCAATATAATATAACAAAGAAGGTATTTTATATAACCTTACAGTTTCTCGCGAGAGTAGGCCCTATCGATGTGATTGGGCTATTTATTGTACAGATCCAGAGTCAGTTTTTGTAATAGACACAATAGCATAAACCTGTAAGCACTGAGGTGAAATCTGACTTCAGAACAGTTTAAAATTATGTGATTGACTTGGAAATGCCACAGCAAAAAACTGTGTTACTAGATGCAATATGAAATTATCGTACATTTGAGGATTTTTGAAACTATTGATCGTACATCGTACAGAGCCCAAAATTATGGTACAAATATGATAATTATTGTACATCTGGCAACACTGTAGCCTAGTGAACTAGACCAAATTCTTGCTTTGCAAAGTTTGGTCTAGGCATGCTCCACTGGAACCTCCACAGCTCCTACCAGGACTCTGGCTAGCCAATCACAGCTCTCTAGAGGGGTTTCAAACACATAAAGAGCTGTGAATGGTCCATAATGGTGGGCCAATCATAGTGCTCTATCTGCTTAGTGAACAAATCAGAGCTTTATCCGCTTTGTGGGCCAATCAGGGCCCTCTATATGCCTGGTGGGTGGGATGATGCAACAGAGTGAAACAAGAGTGTGTCACGTTCATTGTCCAGTGGAATGCGGAGATCATTTGAAAGACAACGGTAGAACCCGCCCCACAACCGAGAGCCGTCAATGGAGCGTGGCCAGACTAAATAATACAGGCTAGTTCTTTATTGGATGATGCTCTGAGACGACTGTGCTTCACGATCAATGAGATTTATCCTGAAAGAAATGACAAATGTTTACAGAGTAAACTTTGAGCTCAAACTTGTGACCATCCCTCTCTTTCTGTGCTCCAGTGGGTGGGACAGGGAGCGACAGTGACAGGAATCCAAGGAGGATCCACCAATTCCCTGAAGACACCGCCGTCACCTTGATCACAGGCGCCAGCGCTCTCACGTGGAGACGCCAGACGACGGGCCTCAGGGTAGTGACATGCTGGGTGGTAAATCACCCGATCCAGATGTGAAACTAACATCAGCTGGAGGTCGTCGTTGGATTAAAGCAGATTTTAGCTTGTTGAGCTGCTGAGAATCTACTCCTACATCCTTTTGTGTCTTTGCAACTAAAATCCGAGTCAACATTCCAGTCGAACACCACAATGGTCTTATCTGTGAGATTATTCAGTTACTGACCGTATTAATCAGATGAAATTACTAGTAAGTTGAGTGCTTTGTCCTTGTTTCCCTTTAGTTTTTTGAAGGTTTTGTGGACCAAAATCCGATATTTTTGAGCAAAAGTGTAGCGCTTAAGTTTGTGTGAATGGTTTCTTACAGGCCAGCGGAGACATGAAGGAGTTGTTTCTGATTAAACCAACAACGTTTCAGATCTTTCGTACGTTTGTTTAACAGCTGTGTTGAGCGGTCCAAGTTTTCCATGCTCAGTTTGTCGTTTGTACTTGGTGGAGCAGAAGAGATCAACCCTTTGGTTTGACCTTCTAGCACGGATGTTTTTTCTGTGAAGAAGAATGTTAATTCCCATGAGAACGTGTAGAACAGCAACACCGTGTTTTATTTAGCGCATGTTTAACTGTAATACTTTAACAAGGTATGGTCAGACAAAAGAGCACGAGCCGTCATCAGCGGGTCACGTTTGAGTGGAACGTAGTAGGGTTAAGCCGGGCGGACACTGTGCGACTTTTTCACTCGTAGCGCTCAGCTTCAGCTCAAACTGTACGACTTCCTCGCAGGGCAGATCTCACGAGTCGTGTGCTCACACTGCACGTCTGGTAGCAACACGTCAGCCCTAAAAATATGCTAAAAATAGCAGTTTTTACTCAACACGTCAGACTTTTTTGTCTTGTCTTGCCTGTTGTCTTTCGGGAGTGCTGCAGGGGGACACACAAGGATTTATGGGGGTTGGATGAGGAAAACGAAATAAAGAAAGTAAATCTGTATTTTTTATGATCAGTTTAATTTGACATGAACACGACAAACACGCTTTCTTGACAATCTTTGTGATTAAAAAAAGTGTAGAAACAAAAACGAACAACGTGTGTCATTAGGGAAATAGCGGGGAGCGGCGTTGATTCAGGATTGCGCATGCGCCGTGAGCGGTTCTGGTACTTTTTGGGTCGCAGCGCCGCTTCAACAGTGTGATACCCTCACGAGGGACGAGCGAAATATTAAACACGCCAGAAGTCCGTGCGACCTCACGACTGCTGATCGGCAGCTGGTCACGTGGTGTTAATCGCCTCTCGTAGCCCCTGTACACTACACGACCGCTCGGCGCAAAACTCGCCCCGATGTTGTGGATTCTCGCACGAGTGGAAAATCGGCTCAAAAAAGTGAAAAAGTTGCACAGTGTACGCCCGGCTTTAGGGTTTGACTCCCACCTAAAATTTTTGTTTTTAAAATGAGATGTTTAATGTTGGTATAAATAAGTATTATTTCATTACTATAATAATTACAAGAGTAATAAAACAAATAGTCATGTCTTTCCACCTGTAGATGCTCCATCAGAAGGGCTAGACATGTCTGATGAAGGTACTCATCATAATACCTGGAATCTTTAATAATCTACTAACAATAACTCATTACAAGGATTATGAAAGTACTCTTAAAATCACAGTTTTAGTCAAAATAAACTTTTAATGTCTGACGCAAATAATAATGTTTGGAAAATAACTTAATTAAATTGGTTTCTGCCACCTGTAGTACTTAGATCATCCACCAGAGGGCAGAATATGCATCAGAAATGTACTAATCCTACTGAAGGGTTAGAGCTATGAAGCCTAAATGTCACCTAACGTAGCAAACATGAGGCACTACAGGGTTAAGGCTGGGGTGGGTTACGGTTGCTGGAAGGCGCTGAAAGCTCGACCAGGGAAAGTCAGTTCAGCCAAAATGACTCAACTTTTCTCCAAGTAGAAGTCAGTCGAGGAATCTGTAACTTTGACACTTGTTTTGGTTGCTCCCTCGCAAACCTTCGGCTTCCTTTTCTTCTTCGTTGGTGTGCTCAGCGGACTGAGGTGCGTCATCCATCGATTGACAGCTCCGTCTTGTGGATACAACACTCTAACCCCGGCTTTCCACCGGAGCCGTCAGCAGCACGTTACTGCAGCAGCACGTCATAGCTGCTGATAGGAACCGCTGTGGTCAACAGAACCTTTTCCACCGGAGCCGTCAGCAGCGCGAGTCGGCCGCGTCTCAGGAGCAGCATGTCGCGGCCTTTACGCGCCGGTTCTATTTTCTACGCGCGACGCCTCTGAAACGGGTCAAGTTCGACATTTTTGGGGAAGGAAAGACAGGAAATCGGACGCGGAAATGGAGAGAAGCTCCCGAGATTTTCAGAATAAAGAACGTACTGCCTTCCGGGTGCTTTACTTTTAAAAAACGTTAGTAACTGTGCGGCCCCGTGAGAAGTCATCACCTAGCTAGCGGTCTCCTTTGTTTTTCAGGTCCGTATTGACGATTATAAAACGGACAGAACATAAAACACAAACCATGTTGTAGTTTTCTCCTGCTTGTTGTTGCGTTTACTGACGAAGTCGCTCGTGTGACTTCGTGCTCTGTCGGTGACAGCTGCTCCCCTGCTGCTTCGCGTCTCGTGGGAAGGGCCAAGCAGCAGCTTACGCGAGCAAGACGTGCTGCTGACGGCTCCCGTGGAAACCCGGGGTAAGATGACGTAAATCCGTTTTTCTGTAGAGGCCGGGGGAGGGACTTGGAGCAACTAGAAATGATGAAAGATGACCTACTTTATACCACAGAACAGGCTCAGGGGGTCAAATTTAAACATTTAAACAATGTACCAAAATAAATAAGTTGCAATAAAAAAACACTTTATAAAAATAGTTTGTTGGGTAATTTTATCAATCCAGGATTACCTTAGGGAAAGGATTTTACCACACGCTGTAAACAGAGGGATTGTGTTGTAACAAACATCTTGGCAGTGAAGAAAACCCACCTACTACCAAAAAGCCGCCTAGCTCCACCTAACCATCTCACTACAGCCGAGGCTCCTCCGTCTCCCTCAGGGAACATCTCATCTGAGACGATCCTTTCGTAGGACTTCTTCTGCAGAGCTCCTGGAGGACAAGGAGCTTTAACCCCCAGAGACCCAAATTTAGAAAACAACTGCAAAATCTTTTTTTAACCTTTCACATGTTGTTCTAGGAGGCCAGATAAACGGGCCTATTTACACATTTTAACAGCCAATAGTGTTGCAGAACTGAACAATAGGACCTATTAGCAATGTAAATGTGGTTTTCAAAAGAAAAAAAATGGGGAAGGTTTATTTTTGTAGACTTAAATCTGATGTTGTAATATTACAACCGTGGGTCTCTGGGGGTTAAAAAAAAACTTGAAATTATAACAGTTAAATGAAACTCTGCTGTCTGACGTGAGCTGTGTTTAACGAGCCGTTGTGATAGACGCTAAACCGCCCCGGTAGAAGAGTTTGAAGCTGGAATGACTCCGTTTTCTTTCATTGGGACCATGCCCTGTGATTTATGTTTACTTTGAATGAATCAATGTTTTTTGAATTGTACATTAATGTCAGTATCATGTCTTTGTACCGAACACCATCACTAATGTGCATGCCTCATTTTGAAGGTTTAGTTCCTCTTTTCTGTGGGTTACTAACCGTGATGAAAACGAGACGTCTAATGAACTAAAGCAGACCGTGTCAAATGTTCTTTCAGATGGTATTAATAAATATTTCCATAAATAGCAGTGACTGATTTGTAGCACGTGTGAAATTCAGAGAGAAAATGCGTCGGCGAGATTGAATGAGATTGTTGCTCGTGTGCAACACAGCATCACACCTCGACTGTTGAGGCCCGGAGTGGATCGCTGTAACCGACACAAACGTGCAGGCTTGGGACTCTCAGACACGTTCATAAAAGCTAAAAATAGGATGACGGATTTGGGCTTGAAGGCTTTGAAAGATGTAAGCTGAAACCCAAAGCTCTTGATTTAGTGCAGGTGTGGGGAACCCTGGTCCTCGAGGGCCGGTGTCCTGCACGTCTTTGCTCCAACATGTCTGATTCAGTGGTTGAGTCACCTGTTCAGCAGCTCATCAGGCTCTGCAGAAGCTTGTTAATCACCTGCTGATTGAAATCGGGTGTGATGATGCAGGGTTGAAACAAATGTGCTGGATAGCGGCCCTCGATGGACCAGGGTTCCCCAGCCCTGATTTAGTGCACCATCTAGCATCAAATGTGGTCCTAGTATTAGAGTTAAAGGGGACATGTGACTATTTACCCAGGTTATAAAAGCTTTATGGTCGATATCTTAATCAAGTTGTTTAAATCTAAATCCCTCTAATGTAAAACGATTTAAACAGTTTTATCGACAGTTTCAATACTTTCCAGAATGAGCCGTTTCATGGCACTGTCACTTTAACAAAACAAGCTGAAACTGGCCACGCCCACCCATCCCTGCTCAGGCTGCTACTGACCCTTTGCACGTGACGTCACGTTACTCATGTGACCGCCGCCTTCGCCATGATGGACGGCAAAAAGACCGTTTACACCCGTAGAAACTCCAGTGAAGCTAGTCAAAACAAGCCAGTTTGTAGCCGTTTATAACTTTTATTTAGTTGATTTGACAGTAAAATGGTTTTAGCTTGCTGCGTGGTCGGCTGCACTAACAGACAAGGACGTAAACTCAACTCGTTTTTTCTTCTTAATAACTTTGATGGAGACTGAGGACGGAGATGAACCGCAGCGATCAGTCAATCGAGCTGACTAGCAGCCCTCAGATTTGCAGCGAACGTGTTTTTACCGGGTAAGATTAACGTTCATTTATTTCACGAGGAAGACCGGGACAGGGATAAATGCGATGTGTTTATACTAGTTAGTGATAATCCTGATGGATGGGTATTTCACCACGGAGGCTGCGCTCCGTCCACTGTAGTGTAAAGCGAGACAATTATTAATATTAAAGGTCCGATGTATGACTACGTGTGTTAAAATTACGTTATTTATTTATATGAGTGTCGGCGTTCAGAGATCTTCTCATTCCGGTGTGAGAGCAGCAGCTGAACCCGGTAACACCACCAGAAACAGAAGCTGGTAGGGATCTGGACTTTTTAACAATCAGCTTTGGTGTAAAGTGAAACGCTGTTTATAACATAGTTATAAATCCAGAGGGGTGAATTTAGGCAACATGTTTACATCGGTGAACAGCTGCAGAGAGAACGTAAGCTAATGTTGGTAAGCTAGTTAGCATACCGCTCTCTATGAGCCCCGCTAGACGCGCTACTTCTTCTGATAACTGAACTGGGCATGAACTAGTTGAAGGAATTCTGGAGGAGTTTTGTTTTTGTTTTGATCGCAAAAACAATTTCAGGCTCTACTTTTCCCTTTGTTTAGTACTCGTGTCGCTCACTGTTTACATGTTTTTGCCGTCCAGCACGGTGGACCCACGTGATTAGGTGACGTCGGTGCAACGGGTCAATAAGCTGAGAAGCTCTGATATCTGGGAGGGGCTTCGTGTAGAGCTGCTGCTCCTCCAGCGGTTAAGAGGTGGCTCTATTCCAATTTCCCCGTTTGAGATGGAGACTTTTTCAAATAATCCCAGAACCAAATACTAACAGAAAATGGATGAACAGGTTTTTTTTCATGTATGAGGAAGAAGAGACTCACACGGCGGCAAATAATGGTGCAAACTGTGAGATTTGCTCAGTGTGTCCCCTTCAGGATCCTGGGTACAAGCAGCTGAGAAGTGATCTACCACAGGAAGGCTCTTGGAGGAGAGCGGCTGCTGCTCCTCATCTAAATAGTCAACTGAGGCGGATCGGATCTCCAACAAAGACACCTCCTGCTCGCCTTAGTCTGGCAGTTTCCAGGCATTTCCACTGGGAGGAGACCCCGGGGCAGAGCCAGAACTTGCTGGAGGGATTTTACATCCTCTCCCTGGCATCAGAAAACCTTGGTCCTGCAGGAGGAACTAAGCAGATCACTGAACCCTCAAGCTCCCAGGTCTCCGGTAGAGGACCCGAGCTTGGAAAGAGGAGACCACCCACGTAGGGTGGGATGAGAATTTTATAATATATTATTTATTACTGTTAAATAATGTTTTTATGGCTCCTGCCAGCTTTCTGAACCTGTGTTGGGATTTTCTTTCACCCAACTTGTGTCCAACTGTTGGTTTTAAAAGACAACGTTCTCAGGAGGAAAAAAACAGCCAATTACTTGATGTGATGCAGCTTTTGGTGACAAATAAAGGACAAAAGCCACCCTTTGTCACTAAACAAACATCTCTAGACTGGAGTTAATCAAGGCCACAAGACTAATGAACACCGATGGTAAGAAGATAAAGTGATGTTTGAGGCTTTTGTCTCAGCCACCTTCATGGTCAGCTTTATTCATGTGGCACATTTACTACAGCAGCTACCACCCAAAGTGCTTTACACGGTAAAAGGACGTCAAGAACTAGGAGAAATGAGAAAAATGAGGTCATTAAAAGACTAAAATATAATGACAACCCAAATGCATCATTTAAACTTTGATAAAAGCTAATAAGCTTAATCATCCGAGTGAACAAAGACACTGCAGCTTCTGCAGAGCGATTTCAAGACGAGTCTGCTGACAGAATATTTATGAAGATCAGGATGAGATTAATGCTGGTTTAGGCTCACAGTTCAAAACTTCAGATTAAATCTGAGGATCAAAGAGGAGACATAAACAACAGATGTGCCGATGATGTCAGTTTGTTCACTTTATCGCTCTTTAACTCTCAAAGGCAATTTGGAGATGTAATGCACTTAAAGGGCAGGTGGATGTCTGGATGGTTACTGTGGAGGTTTCATAGGGAGTCATCTAAGCCCTAAAGCGTTGCAGGTAGAGCCAGATCTGGAATAATTAGAAAAAAAGTTGAAAGCAGGAAGTCCCTAACTTTCCTGCTTCTGACCCACAGAACAACCCAGTTAGAGATGGAGTCCAGCCTAAATCAGCTACATGTGGGACAAAGAGTCCATATGTGAGGGAGAATGTGGGACACATTTGAAGACGCAATGTGTGAGAAAAAAGATTTCTACAGTGAAATAATCCCAAAACAGTCTAATGTCTCCATCATGCTGGAAGGAAAGTTTCACTGAAGCAGATTTCATTTTCAGCCAACTGGGGGGGGGGGGGGGGAGGTGTCAGATTTTCTTCATTCAAAACAAAGAGGGATGCAGCTATCATCTACTGTCAGTGAGAGCGAGGTCGTCATGTCTCCTGAGAGTGGAGGAATTTGTAATTTGACACCAGCAGGCAAAAAGCTCCCGCGTTGCTTAAAGAGCAAGTCACCCCCTACCAGATTCTAACTCCACTCCCACTTCATGTTTGAAAAATGCAACAAATGCTGTTGCCTGGCAGACCGAGAGGGCGGAGCTGCTAACAAATACACACACACACAGGCTCACGACAGCATTGTGACATCATAATGTACCAGTTTACATCATAGCATACCTCTTAGCCAATAGCGGTGGCAGATTTAAATTAGAATACAGTGCAGAGTTTTTACCTGACAACGGCACAACACTGCCAGTTTTAGGCAGAATATTTAAATTTTAACTAAGATGCACTGAAGAGCCAAATTATTGATGACACGTGTCTGCAGCATGATTAGACACTCGTTTATTTGGTTCATCAGCAAAAAAAAGTTGATTTGGGGGTGACTTGCTCTTTAAAGAACCAAAGCCAGTAAACAGGAGCGACCCAGAAGTTATTTCTTGTACTCAAGGAGCCACGGCATCTTTTTGTAAAAACTCAATCAATCTTTATTTGTATAGTGCCTCCCACTGCCTTTGCAGGAGCCCAAGGCGCTGCACATAAAATACAGTAAAAACACAGATGGCAAAAACAAGGAGGTAAAAACAACATACAGACATAAAAGCACTGTAGGAGCCAAGAGCTGTGTTTGTGTACGTGATGTTTAATATCCTGTTTTTCAGTCCAGTTTGCATAATTTCCAGTAAGACTAACATTTATCTGAATGTCTATCGGAAGTCAAGAGCAGCAGATTAAAGATTAAAAGATTAAAGTCCCATTTAGTCGTCACACACACACACAGGTGTGTGGTGAAATTTATTCTCCGCATTTGACCCATCCCCTGGGGG